AATTTACTAAAATCTGTCGTATGTTATATTTTATGATCTATTTCTCATATGTAACTGTCCTAATCAAAATATCCAAAATAGGCCACTAAACAATCTTTTAACCTTTTTTTCAATGAGTGACATTAACCAAAGTAATAGTAAAAATATAAGCATAAGAATCACAACTTTTAAAAAGGAATTTCTTTTAAATCTCAATATTTTACACACATATATCTCATTTAATTTTTCTTTAGTTTTTTATATTTTTTGAAATCTAATTTGAAGATGAGTTGGGCTAGGGGTGTATTCTGAATTTACAATCATATAGTTTCACAGCCAAAATCACAGCTTCTAATTTTTAGATGGTACACATATCTACCATTAAGAGTTGGGTTTGATTCAATTTCACAAAAAACACTTGTCTAGCTCTATAATTGAGGATTTTTAAATTCAATACCAAAACATACAACACTGGCTATGCCATGCTGACCAGTGACTATCCTGTTATCTATTTGAAGAATCATATCAAAATAAGTTTGTTCTAGTGAAGCCTTTTTTAAGGCCAATAAGTAACCAACGACAATCATAAAACAATATTATAGATGTCAAAATGAGTTCTGAATCAAATAAAAATCTGTTATTCTAGTATTTTCTGTGCCTTTCCTATAATACACAAATTAAGTAATATAAAACACCATATACCTGCTCTGTTTCTACAAAATTGGCAACATGACCATCATCATTTGTTCCCCGAACATTAAACCTGGTCCCAGCTCGTTCACAGCTTAATCGTGAAATGAGGCAAGCCTTTGCCTGTTTATGAGCAGCATAAATTGTCCTGATTTCCACTCCTCCACACATGAGGCGTAATAACCAGTCGTCACAATTCACACCATAGTGCTTGAGATGCAAATGCAAAGACTGATTCCTAATAGAAAAAGAAATAAATGTATTAGCTTTTTGAGTATTAAATAACAAAGTATAAATTTTAAAATGGTGCTTCTGGAACATTAATTTAATGTTGTTAAATTAAAAGGCACCAAAAATAAATCAGTTCATTTACATTTACTATGCTAGGGATCGGAAGATAGAGATATAAAATGAGATTCTTCAACATATTATCCATGTCCATAGAAAAGAAGCATTTTTGTGTTTTTAGTGTCTGTGCCTCATTTGTTATGTCTTTATAGATAATGTATTTATAACGTAACTTGTTCCAAGAAGGATTATATACACACATTCCCACCCCGCTTTATAAAGCTCTATTTTTAAGGCTTGAATTTTATAAGGCTCTATTTTAATTTAAATAGCCAGATGTGGCTAGTGGCTACCATATTAGACAATGCAGACCTAGGGTTCACTCCAAATACTTTAAGCATTCCAGGTAACAGATGCGGCCTGGTTTCCAAACTTTTTCAGGAAAAGAAGTTTTATTCACACAAACACACAGAAGCCCAATGATTATGATACAGATAAAAGCAAAGTCACCATGGCTAAAGTGGGGGGGGGGGGGGGGGGTGCAGCCCTGCCAGGTTGGCCTTCTCACCTATCACCTCACGGGTCTCTCCTGGAACTTTAGTCCTCCACAGAACATACTGAAGCTTCTAACCAACCTACCACTAAGAAAAATATATTGTTGAGTGAAAAAACTCTATCAATTTAAAACTGGATTTTCCATATTATTAAAGCTTGGGTCTCTGAGTTTTAAGTGCAATTCTTAAGCACTCTGTGCTACCTTCCTGTCTTAAACAAGGTATAAAAAATGCATCAGCATTTTTTTTTTTTCTTGAGACAAAGTCTCACTCTACTGCCCTGAGTAGAGTGCCATGGTGTTAGCCTAGCTCACAGCAACCTCAAACTCCTGGGCTCAAGCGATCCTCCTGCCTCAGCCTCGCGAGGAGCTGGGACTACAGGCATGCGCCACCATGCCCGACTTCATTTTTTCTATATATTTTTAGTTGTCCATCTAATTTCTTTCTATTTTTTTTTAGTAGAGACGGGGTCTCGCTCTTGCTCAAGCTGGTCTTGAACTCCTGAGCTCAAACGATCCGCCCACCTTGGCCTCCCAGAGTGCTAGGATTACAGGCGTGAGCCACCGCGCTGGCCCATCAGCATTTTCTTGAAGACTCAGAGCAGTAGTCCTCAGCTCCCTGCCCGCCACTCAGATTACAGGCTGCAGTAGAGATAAAATACACGCTGGTCACATGCAGTTCTGGGAAACCAGCTAAGACCTCAACCCCTCTTATCCATCCAAAAAAGCATACAGGACTATAAATGAGTGACTGGGATAATGTTAAATTTGATGGCTATTACTTATTTTAAAAATATTAATACATTGACTTAAGCTTCCATACTTTACTATCACCTACATTGATCTGAGGCAAAGTAGACATTGACTGTGACCTGGTATGGCCAGACACCATAGTGGAGACCCATGTCATAATGAAGGTATAAAAGACTTACTTGTCCTCCATTTAAATAGACCTCAGATCCTATGCATTTTGTGCAGGCAGAGTTTCTCCCTCTGCTGTCAGTTTTCATGGTGGGTTCTGTGATGGGTATTTGCCACTCTTTGACTACAAAAATTACTTGGCTGTATCCTGGAAAATATTTCTACTAAGCGCAATGGTATGCACAATGAATTCTAAAAGTTTCCATTTTTCTGTGCAAAGTGAAGGTTAAGAATGCCAATCCTGGATGGGTGCAGTGGCTCACACCTATAATCCCAGCACTTTGGGAGGCCAAGGTGGGAGGATCGCTTGTGGCCAGGATCGCTTGAGACCAGCCTGGGCAATATAGCGAGACCTCACCTATACAAAAAAATTTTTTTAAAAATTAGCTGGGTGTGGTGGCATTCACCTGTAGTCCTAGCTACTTGGGAGGCTGAACCAGGAGGACTGCTTGAGCCTAAGAGTTTGAGATTGCAGTGAACTAAGACCATACCACTGCAATCTACCCCAGGTGACAGAGTGAGACTCTGTCTCAAAAAAAAAGCCAATTATGAGCAAAATTGTAAAAATTATAAAATGAGCAAAATTCACCTTTGGTGTTTTAGCCATCCCTTTGTTCAACCTGTCTCCTACTGGACAAACCCTCTCAGGCTTGCTTTTATTTAAATTTGTCCCTATCTTCACTCTTCATTGAATGAAAAAACAAATATATTATTCCTACTGATTAAACTTAGCCTACATATCTGCACCTGCTTAGACTTCTAATTATTGCAGAAAAGGTTTTATCCCTCAATATAAGAAATTTTGGGTAGGAATGAGGAGATAACAAAATAGTAAAGACAGCTGCCCTAAGCACACCTGCAACATGTTTACCTTTTCGAAGGGACTTCAATGTCTTCCACTAGAAAAAGTACAGTGCTGACACAGTTTTAACTCTTGGAAGCCTATTTCCTAATGCCAGACAAAAGTGCATCCCATCATCACTAGATTCTCTGAGCAGACAGGACCTTATGTCCATTCACTGCCCTATTAACCCCTCCATCCTCTGTCTCCTTCCCTCCCTCTCCTTCTCCTCCCCCCCACCCCTTTTGTCTCCTCACTGTCTCCTCCTTTGCTAAACCCAAGTCTCTAACACACAGGGCTCTAAACCTTTTTTGCATTCTGCTCTCTCTCCTCCCCCATTCCACTACTCTGGGTCTAAACACTGCCACATGGGCTAGAAGGTGACCAAGCTGTTGCTCTAAAGTTAGTTTCTTAACCTAAGGTTAACTTTAAGCTCTCTGCCAGGTAGGGAAATGGGTCATACCTGAATGTGCTGCTCAAGACCCATATAAGTGATAGTGTGAAAGGTCAAAGAGTGAGAGAGAAAATAGAGGAGGAATGACACCTTGAATCTGAACAGTTAAGGGAGGCCAAGAGCAGAGAGTCTTGAACTTTGGCCTTATAACATATTTCAATATAATGAAACATAATTTGCACATGGTAGTAAGGAAAAAATTCAACATCAGTGCTGGCTGTAGACGACAGAATCACTATACTAGAAATGTGGTCTGCTACAATAAAGCAATACTAATTATAGTCCCATGTGTTCTGTTCACCATTCATGCCTACTTATAATACAGCACAGTTATGCATAATCATGAAACATATCACAGCTACCTACGTAAGTTCTATCTTATTATAGTACTAGTCCTTGTCCCAGTGTCCCAGTGTACTACTACTTCACAGTCTGTTGTTCTCAAATCAGGATCATCTACTTATAACCTTAAAATAAAAAATAATAAGGGAATGTTGGCTTAGGAAGGGAATATTACCAGAGATAAGATCTCAAAACTAAGAATAGTAAATATGAATAATATAGTTTTGTTACAACTAAATTCATTCCTAAATTTAGAACAAATATTTTAAATATACTTCTAAAATGAAAGCTCAGTTCAGATCAGGAGGAGCAAATGGGTTTCATGTCAAATGCCAACTTCCATAAACTGACTGTTACTACCTGCCAAACTCTGCTGAGGATTGTGGAGCAGGAAAGAGGGGTAGCAATGTTATCTCTGGAAATAGCAACTGTTGAACTATAATGCCCAAAATCACCAAGCTGTTACACAGCACATGATGAAAAAGGGGAAAAAATAAAACACAAACTCACCAGAAAAATCTATTATCAGTTGTCTGTTCTTGCACGCTACGATGTGCATTAAGACTCAGATCTAAACTGATGCCAGAGGCAGACCATGCAAAATAAAAGTTTCCTGAATTCAAAACTTTTCGTACTTCTGAAATGCGATCTTCATCTGAAGAATCAATTCGTAGTGATATAAACTCAGTGGAAGTAACTCGGAACACTTCAGATTCTTGAATTTTTCCAACAGACATACATCCTGTGACTAGGACCAGATAATGTAACATAGTATCTCCTGTAAAAACCAAAGATTTTATTGAATGAAAAATCCCAACATTTTTCAAGCTATTCAGTTTCTTCTTTCTTCTTGTATTTCTACCTTTTAAATCTGACATTGTGATTATTTTAAACTTATGGATGTGTTTAAACTCACAACTAGATCTTTTCTAGTTGAAAAAAAATCCTTGTTTAAATATTTTAAGTATAATAAAGCATTTAAACATTAACAGGATAATCTCACACTTATGAAATTGCTCCTCTGCTTAATCTGAGGCTCTAAAAATTTATCAAATAAAAAAATAATGTGTTACATTCTCTACCTTCCCTTTATGAGTGTTAGGAAGTTCAGATAAGATAATGAATGTGAAAGTTCTTTGTTCAGTTGAAAAAATGGTACATAAATGTGAGTTGATAATGTTGATGATGTATAGGCAAAAGTCCCTGGTAACAGTTTATAAAGCAATTTGATTTACAAACCTTTCATAGATATTTTTTCTTCTAATTCTGACAAAAAACCTATGAAATTAATATGAACTTGGAATTCAGCAGGTGTACTGTGATCATGGGCTTTGACATAGGCAGACACAGCCCTTCATTTGGCTCCCCTATTTATTATGTGGACCAACTTCGGCATGTAACATAAACAGCCTGAGATATCATCCCTTATGAAAAGGAATTAAAACAAATACATCACTAGACTATGAGGATCACCTAAGATTAATTAGCAAAGCACCAGTGTTTTACATGTGATAGATTCATAACAAATGGCAAATCTCCATTTTGTAGATCCATGCTTCTCAGAGTACAGTCCATGAACTGTTACCAGCTCATAATCAGAAAAGATGCTTGTATCAGAACAGAAATTAATTATATCACCAAGTTCACTCTACCAGCTAACTTTTTTTTTTTCATAGTAAGACTTTATTAATAAAGGAAGCCATATGGTGATTCGCATGATGGTGCAAGCTCCGTATCTCATCACAGACCAATAACAAAACAATTCATGGACGATTACCAGTCTCTGGGCCACACTTTGATTCACACCATTACAGACAAATTGATAACCACAAAGGCAATTCTGCAGTCCATGGTGACATTAAGTGGCAGAGACAGGCTCAAGCTGAGACCTTTTGAATCCAAAACAGATGTCTTTCCCACTGTAAACCAGGGAAATCAGTGTGCTTCTCATGAAGACACCTTTTCCTAAATGTATTAAAGCAAAGAAAAGGAGCAATGCTTTGATTTTCTTTTTTGACAGTAGATACCCATCTCTCAAAGTGTTCAAACCAGAGACTATCTCTGGAAGTTAAAAATCACAAGAGCTTGAGCATGCAGCATGATTTTTGGGCAATAAACATTATCATAAGATTAGCTAAATTAAGGTTTAAAATATGTTACCACATTTATAACTTGAACAGGAGTCTGAAATAATATATAGGTAGAATAACAAAAGTAGAAATTTAAAAATGGATGAATTATATTGAATAATAAACTTACCAAGATTTAATCGCAAAACACCTAAGAGTCCATATGCATCCAGTACTTTGGAGTATGTACTCTTGATTGCCTCTTTTTCTGCAGATGCTACAAAAGAAGTTTTAGGTTAAGAAAAATGACCTGAAACACCAGATTCTATTAATATTTAGCTATAAAGCCAGAGTTTCAACCAAAAATGTCTAAATCTGATATTTTTAAAAATCCTATATTATTGACATAAACGTATTACATGAAGTATTTTCTCAAACTAGTAACTGTTCTTCCCAAAGAATTAACAAATTATTCCAGAAACATCTATTAATTAATTCATCCTATCCCACTGATTTGAAATTTATCTTATTCATCCTTTTATCCCTGACACTTAGAATAGTGCTTGACACATAGAAAACTGACAAAACACTAAATGATGAAAGCTAATGGCAATACTTGACTACACAATTTAGTACAGGAATGGAGAAATCTGAATCTGAAAGGACAAAAGTCTGGCCTCTGTCTTATTTCTTCTGTTATAAAGTTAATATTATCTTGCTAATGAAAGTAACCCACAGGATATTTTCATGAGGGCAAGCTGTTGTGGTTGTTCTATAGAGAAGAAAAAAATAATAATAAACAAATCCTGAAACTTTAAAGGAAAAACCTTCCTAGTATTTAGCAAGCACACATTAAAAATTTGACAAAGGATCACAGAAATATAGCAGCTAGTATGTCAAAAGACAATTACAAATAACACATTCTAAAGTCTACAATTTAGAAAGGAATGATCCCCTTTCTCATTCCTTCCTTATCTTCCAGGTTTCTTTCCTTCTCCACTGCCCTTCCTTATCCATTCCCCACCCCACACCCAACTCACCTCTTGGCTGACTGGTCCACTCCTTATTTACCTCTTATCTCTTGCACTTATCCCCTTTCCTTTACCTCATTTATCTATATCTAAGACATAAGATCTTTCAGCAATACTTGTGTGTTCCACGTTAGAAAGTCATTAAAAGATCCTTATAACCTTCTCATTTTCTGTCCCTCTTTATTGCCAACAAAAAGGGTCTTTTCAGACTACTGCTTTGCCTAACACTCCTTTGTACTTTTCATCAGAGATTTTTTCCTTTGCCTGGAAGCTCTTCTCCAGGATTCTAGAGAACATCTCACTTTCCCTGCCTGCTTCACTTCTTTTTAGATCATCTACTCTTAAACCTTCTTCCTAATGATCTCACTTTTGCCTTCTAGTGAGTTGTACTCTGCTAGTTGGCAGCGCAGGCTAAGACGAAATGACTCAATCACTCAATTAGCTGACATTTTCACGATTCCCTAATATGTTCATTATTAAGTGTGGACCTTTATCAAACCACCTAGTACAAAATCAGGGAGCAGAGATTTCACAAAGCCATTAAAGTTATGTGGATTTGCATCTCATTCTGCATTCCTAGAGTTCCTATTATTATTATACCATACATTTATAGAACAGTTACTCCTAACACTCCATGACAAGCAACACAAATATAAAACATCACAACATAAATTTTAATTATACTTTATAAAGTAAAACAGGATTGCCTTCTCCTAAATATTGCCTTGTCAAGAGTACCACATGCATACAAAACATTACAGAGATTTGTTATATCTCTCATGAAAGAAGGCATGGCTTCCAGGATAATTATTCTAGAGTTTTACAGGATACATGCTATATGCATGTAAAATACCATCACTAATATAGTAATACAGAAATTTCTAGATATATCAGGTTCAGCAGCAATCATCATTTGGGTTCAAATAGCAGCAGTTAGTAAAAATTAAAAAGAAAATACATACTTAATGTTAAGTCATCACCTGTCCTTAGAAAATAGAAAAAGTCATTCTATAAATTACCATGCAACAAAATGTTCTCTCTTATGATAATGCATAATAATTACCTTCCCATTAACTGTACTCCAAAATATATGAACATGTCTCATCTCTCAGGCCCAGTGAAGGTCCATCTATTATGTCAACCTAATTCAAGCATGCAAACAAATGCCTTGCAGTTTAATATTAACACTTGTGTATTATATTCTGAGACTCAGAGAGCAGGATACACACACACTTTAAAGTGTATATTCTTAGATAAAAGTATGCTAAAGAAAAGAAAAAATAATTCAAAGAGTAGAGGACATGGCATTTGTTATTTTCCCTACCAAAATTTTTTTATTCCCTTCAAAATTCTAAAAGAAATTTTAAAATAATATTTCAGCTAGGAACTTGTATATTGCTTCTGTGATGATTATGACTAACTAACACAGGGCTGTTTTCATGCATTATTCAATTTTCACAACAACCCTATGAGCAAAATTACTACTACTTCCTTCTGACATATGAGGAAACAGGCTTAGAAAGGTTGTCAGAGAAGGCAGCTTCATGAGGGAAGGCACTCTGTCTAGTTCACTGTCCTATCCCCAACAGCCTAATCAGTGCCTGGCACTCAGTAGGCGTTTCATAATTGTATGTTCAATAAATTAGTGAACTAAATTTAAGAGCCATATGCACTTTTAATGCCAGACACTTCCAATTTCACAAGAGAAAACAGTGTCTTCTTCCTATTTTTTTTATCTGAAGGACTATAGGTGTTATTTTATTTGTCCATATATGCTTCAGAGGTTAAAGTGGGCGCAGAGAGGTCCAGTGCAGGTTGCCAGAGCCCAGGTAGAGTAAGGATGGTCCATGCATGGAGGTGAAGCTAGAAGCAGGAAAAGAGGGCATCCACTTGGGGGAGGAGCAGCCTGGCATGAGGTGCTGCAGTCTGCCTGGGGTGAGGAGGGGAGTGTCCACCCAGGGACGTTGCGGGTGGCCTGGCACGGTATGTCAGAGCTTGATAGGGATGGGGAGGGCAGGGTGTTGGAGCCCCAGAAGGGGGAGGAGGTCACCCATGTGGTGGAGGAGGCTACAGTGGCAACACAAGAATAGTTATACAGGGGAATGATCAAGGATAATGAGAGTCAGGCTTCTCACTGTCAGAGAAGAGTGATCACAAACAGAAAAAGAAAACCAGTATGGACAAAGTTGATTGGAATTGAGTTACTGGTGTTTTCTAGATAGACAGAAGATGAGAAACACAGATATAAATGGGTGTAAGTATTTATGTCATACACATACATATTTACACACACTCCTTAGCTCTAACCATTGACAGGACCTGGGATCTGCAATACTCTGATAGCAATGAGCATTCCTAGCACCCATATCTTGGTTTCTAAATACCATTCTCCACTAAAAAGAACTAGGATTCCATGGAGAAATGGCCGATTCCAGGGGAAAAGCTGGGACAAAATGAGCCTGAAACATATTCATGCACCAGAAAAGTAAGGAAGTATTCATTGTTCACAGAACAATGGAGACATTGCTAAAATGCAGGAGCCAGCTTGAAGGGGCTTCTACTGGCAAAACTTAGGACAATTTGAACATCAAAATAAATAACAAGAGTAATGGATTATAACCTACTGAATAAGCTGATGAATTTAAAGTCTGATGAGGAATGGGATATACATAGTCTCAAAGTACCTCCCTTCAAAATAATTATAAAGGAAAAAAAATGTCTGCCAGATCATCACCTTAATCAGATAATCAAAGTGAACACGAACAGTAATGGGACAAGTCAAAATTGTGTGTTGGCTGACAGCATATGATGAAAATAATGCAAAGCCTCTTCTGCAATATTACTGCTGAAGATGTATAACCTGAATCTAAGCATGAGGAACCATCAGACAAATCCAAAGTGAGGGCCATTCTTCAAAATAACTAGCCTTTGTTTTCAAAAATTTTAAGGTCATAAATGTCAGATTAAGGAATTTTTCCATTTCAGGAGACTAAAGAGACATACCAACTAAATAAAATGTACAAATCTGGACTGGATCTTTTTGCTATAAAAGATATTGTTGGGATAATTGGTGAAACTTGAATGGAGTCCGAGGATTACATGGCCATAATGTATCAATGTTAATTTTAAGATAGTTATATCATAGTTACGCAGAAGGTCTTTGTAGGAAATACATAACAAAGTATTTGGGGATGGTGGGGTGTCATGTAAGCAACTTACTCTTAAAAGGTTCAGACGAAAAAAGTTCCTTGTACTGAACTTCAACTTTTCTGTATGTTTTAAATTGTTTCAAAATTAAAATTCTTTCAAATGTAATGAACAAAAACAAAATTTAAAAATACATGTACTTATTCCTAAATTAAGAAGCTTTTATCTCTAAATGACATTAATAAGATAAACTCTTATAATACCTTGTTATTCCCTCCTCATACATTTTTTTAAATGGAGAAAAAAATATTTCCTTATTTCATGACTCTCTATAAAATATACAAAAATACATGATGTAAGAGGGATGAATCTAAATTACTGTCTACCTACTCTGGTAGTTTAATTCTAGAAAATAATTTGAGAATCTTCTACTATAAAGAGATTACTTAAAATAGTAAAGCCTATACGTTATGTAAGATAATATGTATAATCTTTAGATAAAATATAGCAACTGCAAATACTTTACTCAATCCATCCCCATCTTTCTTTTTCCCTTAATTCTCTCCCCTCGCATCCTATGCTTCAGCCAAAAGAATAATTTTGTTGCCCCTTCAACATGTTCCACTTTCTATTCCCTCTCTTCCTTTGTTCACAGTGTTGTGTCCATCTGGAATAACCTTTAGTCATCTTTAAGTTTCTAAATATTACCCACCCTTCAATCCCTAACTAAAATACCACTTTCTTTCCTTAAATTTTCCCTGATCACTCTAGTTGGAAGTAAATCTTTCTCCTATTTTATGCTATAATCACTTGTATGCTAATAACAATAGAAACTAGCATTTCTTTATATCTCAACACAATAACAACCTAATACAGAGACTGAACAAATATTGCAGCTTCTGATTAAGTATACATCTAATAGACAAAAACAAATGTACAAAAGTAAATGTACAGTACAAAAGTAAATGTGTTGCTAATTTAAAAATAATACATAAAATGATAAACATTTTACCTTTGAAAGTGTTGGGATGCCCTCATTACTGAAGCTCACATTCAACAACTCCTCACAGTGATGTCTGTGGCGGGGAGTGAGGGTGGG